TTTTTTGGTCTGTTTTAGAAAATTTCATTAATATGAAAATAAGTTCTGTGATTTTTGCCTTGTTGACAAAAAATCTATAATTTGAAATTACAATCTGAACAGGTTCATGATGAAGTGATCCTAGAGGGGCCAACTGAGTCGGCAGAGGAGGCAAAGGCTATAGTGGTCCATTGCATGTCATATCCATTTGATGGGAAAAATATCTTAAGAGTCGATTTGTCGGTTGATGCCAAGTGTGCCCAAAACTGGTATGAAGCCAAGTAGGTGAAGACGGCTACTTCGTGTCCAAGTGCCTCGCGCTGATATGTCAGTATTAATCGGTCAATTGATTTCTCGATTTAATTTCGTTTGGCATCGAGAGGGTGGTTTTTGTATTTTTAGATAATATATACATGTCGATGCCATTTGCAGACTGGTAAGCTAACTCGGGTGCTGTATGTTAAGGGATCCTTTGGAGTGTATATACAGTCCATGTGCCCAGCGAATGCTGTAAATGTCAGCTTCAAAGTTTTTTCACATTTTTATGGTTAAATGATGATTGTAAGTGCTGCTATTCTGAAGGATCAGCAGATTATTTATTTTGAATATTCTTATGTGATCTAGTGCCAATTTTGACTACTCAACCACTTCTAATTTCTACTTACAACTTGTGAAGACAAACATTATCACTTTATTTTTATTTTTTTTATTAATCAAAACTGATAAACGTTGATCACTTTGTTTAAACTCAAATATTGGTATCTTGGCAGACAACTAACTCCCCTACACAGAACACATACAAACAATACTACCCAACAATAGTTAACGAAATAAATGTTTGAGGAAGTTGAATGAAAAAGGATCAGAATAATGGGGCAGCTCCAAAAGCTAATAATATCAATAGAAAAGAAGACCTAATTTGCAGGTTTATCCAATGACCTATTTTTCATTGTCCTATTTACGCAATTACTGTTAGCGAAAGACTGCTGTGCTCCAGATAAATCCTCGCTTTGAATCCTAATTTTGGTTCCTTAGGGTGTTTCTTAAGGCTTTGTATCTCTTAGAAAGATGTTATCTTTTGCTTGATATGTCAAGACGTTGCCCGTACATTTCTCTTTAAAACAATTTGTTTCAGAGCATTAATAGATTGTGTTTCGGAAATACAGAACCAGCCTGCATTGGAGAAGGATCGGTACAAGATACGAAAGGCATTTGTTGCTGCACCTGGTAACTCCCTCATAGTTGCTGATTATGGACAGGTAAAATTAGCTGAGACCTTCCAAAACATGCATTTATTTTGTATCTTTAGGATTAATAACAGAAACACCATTGAGGTTTAATACTATCTACAAAATACATTATTAAAGATACCTCCTTGATGTTTTTATCTATTTTCAAAGTGCCCCTTGATTCAGGATACTTGTTAAGAAAATGGAAAATTGAAGAGTCTTTTTGTAGTTAGGTCAAATCGGGATTAAATTTTGTAGTAATCATAATTTTTGGCGATTTTTGTTGATGAAGTGCATTTTGTTGTCAGTTGGAACTAAGGATTCTTGCTCATCTGGCCAAATGTGAGAGCATGTTGGATGCTTTTAAAGCTGGTGGAGATTTCCACTCAAGGACTGCTATGAATATGTATCCACACATTCTTGCTGCTGTTGAACGAAAAGAAGTGCTTCTCGAGTGGCATCCTCAATCTGGTGAAGATAAGCCTCCAGTGCCTTTGCTAAAGGTTTGCCTAAGAGTTCCTCTTTTTGAAAGTTAATATGAAAGGTAGCTTTAGTTTAGTCTAATTTTCAAGAAACCTTAGATGTCTTTAAATTACAAAAGCCACCATTTTATTTGTAGATAAATATTATAATATGCGATATTGAAGATGATGTTCGCCATAAGAGTTGGACTTTTTTGTAATTAGGTCAAATCTAAGGGGTAGTATTTGCAACTGCGCCTTCAGTGTGTGTTATTTCCACATTTGCAGGAGTTGCCACTATTTAAATTTTATTGCCATCTTTCTTAATCTAGATGTTAAAATGAGTTATAAGCTATTGGAGACGTCATACCACACAAGTAAATAAGAACATCTCGTTTTATGGATATGAACATGAATTTGAGGATTACCCAAACTTTGCATCCTTTCTTCTAGCAACAAGTTGAATCCCTCCATCTAATTACAATTAATAAGTTGTGCAAACTTCAATTGCCAAATCTACTATTATTGAGCTAATGAGGGTTACAGCAATATTACAACACTCGAATTATGGCATCATTATCAAGTGCTTCTGACTTGAAAAAAATAAATCTGGTTGTTGTTTTGGATAATTATTTAGGATGCGTATGCTTCTGAAAGAAGGAAAGCAAAGATGCTAAACTTTTCAATTGCATACGGAAAAACTATCGTGGGACTTGCCCGTGACTGGAAGGTATTTTTCACTTTCATTGAGTTTTCAGTCAGTGTTAACTGATTCCAGACAATGCATGTGAGATATCTGTGCTATTATAGGTTTCCCGTGAAGAAGCTCAAGAGACAGTTGACCTCTGGTACAGTGACAGACAAGAAGTCCTGAAGTGGCAGGAAGACCGTAAGAAAGAAGCGCGTAATCGCAACAAGGTCTTCACATTGCTAGGGAGGGCACGCGACTTCCCATCACTGAAGAACGCCAGCTCAGCGCATAGACATCACATCGAACGTGCTGCCATCAATGCCCCAGTGCAGGTCCTTTTCGTGCCATCCCTTAACCGTCTTTTGCTATTCCGTTATCCATGATTTTATTATTGGGCATGTGTGTTTGCTAATGCATTTTCAATTAAATGGTGCAGGGTAGTGCTGCAGATGTCGCTATGTGTGCCATGTTGGAGATATCGAGGAATGAACGTTTGAAGGAGTTGGGTTGGAGGCTCTTATTACAGGTCAAGACTTAGCTTCTCTCCCTTTTTCACCTACCCCAAACACTTCATACTTGATAGGAAAACAACAGAAAACAGAAGAAAGAAAGAAAATGCAGCACAAAATTCAT